ATGTCTAGGCTGCAATGGTAGATCGTCTATTAATATGTACTGACATTCTGTGGAGATGTCTAGGCTGCAATGATAGATCATCTACTGCTATGTACTGACATTCTGTGGAGATGTCTAGGCTGCAATGGTAGATCGTCTACTGCTATGTACTGACATTCTGTAGAGATGTCTAGGCTGCAATGGTAGATTGTCTACTAATATGTACTGACATTCTGTGGAGATGTCTAGGCTGCAATGATAGACTATCTACTGCAATGTACTAACATTCTGTGCAGATGTCTAGGCTGCAATGATAGATCATCTACTGCTATGTACTGACATTCTGTAGAGATGACTAGGCTGCAATGATAGTTCGTCTACTGCTATGTACTGACATTCTGTGCAGATGTCTAGGCTGCAATGATAGATCATCTACTGCTATGTACTGACATTCTGTAGAGATGTCTAGGCTGCAATGATAGTTCGTCTACTGCTATGTACTGACATTCTGCGGAGATGTCTAGGCTGCAATGATAGACCATCTACTGCTATGTACTGACATTCTGTAGAGATGTCTAGGCTGCAATGATAGTTCGTCTACTGCTATGTACTGACATTCTGTGGAGATGTCTAGGCTGCAATGATAGTTTGTCTACTGCTATGTACTGACATTCTGTGGAGATGTCTAGGCTGCAATGATAGTTTGTCTACTGCTATGTACTGACATTCTGTGGAGATGTATAGGCTGCAGTGGTAGATCACCTAAAATGCAATATATTTTAATCTTAGAACTTAATCAACATCATCCAACCTATCCTCTGACCAGTATGATGTTTAAAATGCATACACATACTAACTAACAAGCACATGTCAGTCATCCACAACTATCACAACAAAACTAGAATCATGTGATGATCCTTGCTGAAAGTTATGCCGGCAGGTGTCAGTACACAGCAATGCAGTTAGTTAGACACTGAATAGAAATAACAGTCAATCTCATGAAATAATAATGCCTCCAACCTTCCGCTGTTTGTTCGTTTTAGAGCAAGGCCACATTGGCTATCTGCTGTGACCCAGTGCAGTGAATCGAACCCCGGATTATAGCACTGTAAGTCTATAAACTTACAGCTGTCCCACCGGGGGACCCCTTCTGCTGTATGTTCAACTGAAACACTGTATGATGGGCAGCAAATGAAACGTTTCTTGCAACAGCGAAGAGAATTAGGAAATATCTTGCAATATCTAAGTAATTGATATTTTAATCAAATACCAATATTTTTGTAACGTATAAAAGATACCTACCAAAATCCGTTTTATGGAGCCCATTGAGACCATGGTAGCTGAGAAATTCTTCGTAATCCTGTTAAGTTTTTTACATATGCTTCGTTAGATGTCACTCTCTCAAATTTAACCGTCTTACACAATTACAAATGTAGCTCATGTCTCGCAGTAACCAATTACATCTTTGATACGCACTCATTCCAAATGGTGTTTGATGTGGTCATCTTCAAAAACAGGGAGTTGACTTCGTGGATAACTACGCGTCTAATAGATATTCAAGGTCAGTCACTCCTCAGAATTAACACTTAATTGAAAAACAAACGGCGACAATAAAGCATCTACAGTTAATTCCAGATACAAATTTTACGCGCTTTTAGTATCCGCGCACCTCTGATCACTGCTTTCGACAATTTTCACGTCTCCTCTCTTTTACCGTTTGATTTGAGATAAAACTCTCTTAAACTAATACAGCTAGCTGTCACCTTTGGTTAGTAAGTTCTCGTAACACACCCAGCAAACACGCACAAATAACACGAAGTCCCACTAACTCAGTTCTACTTTCGTAAATGTTTCCCTACTGGTGTGTTAAATATTCATACATAATTCAAGTCACATCGATGGAAATGGAGAGATGTCTTTGTAACACAACCGTTTTAAGACAGCATGACTTGGAAGGCTACAACGTATTATCTTCTTCGTCCCAGAAATTCACCAAAACAAACCACACACATCCGTAATTCTTTAGAAATCCCTGGGCTTTCCGGTGTCCTGTATGGAGCTAAGTGACAATAACTCTGAGAGGACCTCCATATTTTTAACAATAACGAAAGGAAATGCCCTTCCTTGCTTAATTTCACCTCCAACAAAATCCGATCAAAAAATATTTTAAAACTTTATATTCCACAGATTTGTTTTTTATATTTCAATGTATAATGGCATAGAGAGAGAAAAAAACTATACTAATAACATGAAAAGGGAGGTCAGTTTGAAAATTACATTTAAAATCACTTTTAATCACGATCTAAAATGACCCAAAATCACGAGATTTGTTTAACACGGAAATAAAAATTCATACAAGAATAACTCCACTATCCTTATTGATAATTAGGCCAATTCTTATCGTTAAAACTGTCTACTTACTGATGAAACAAAGGAGACTGCGTTTTAGTGATAAGGCGAATAAAGAGATATTGTTATTACAACAACATATTTCGGCTTAAGCTATCTGTACGTTGTTTAAATTATTGACAAATCGGTAGTTTTAAGTTCCACGCAGAACACCTGTTGTGGCCCCTGCGCAATAAGGCATTTATTTTTTGAAGTATCTAATGAAACGCATACTTCCTGCACGCATTCATAAGAACCAATGATCAACTTGGCAGCTGTCATAAGTTAAAACACGAACTGCAAAATTTCATCCTGCTAATATACAAGTCTAATTCTATTGATATCTTGTACTGAAAAACTTGGGTACTTTCGTTCAGTCTTTGCACGTAATTTAAAATGCGTCGTGTAAAGCGTGTATTTTGATCTTGGCTCTAGTTATTACACACTGCAATAGCAGGGATAGTGTTGCCTTGTGGTAGGAATGTTTACCGTCTCTTCCTTATATTTTCAAATGACTTTACATAATAATATTATTGCAATATCTTTAATTTAGGTAATACATCAATAAATAATGCAATGAATTTACCAATTTATAAAATGAAAAAAAATCTTACTAGTTAAATAAAATGTGTCTAAATGGTCTTAGTTTGTTTTTGATATGTGTTGTATGCCGCTGTTCCTCGTCAGATTCTATAATATGTTAGATTCAAAGTATGTCGGTCATTCTATTTCCATACCTTGAGTACTGTTTAATATTTTAGATTTTTTTAGAGCGGCACCCATCAACAAAACATATCGAAAAAAGATGCATTCAGTCTTGAGCTACAGAATACGGATTAAAATGAAAGTCAATAAAGTTGATTTCTGATAACTTTTTTTTTTTTTACTTACGTACATAACCAAGATCAGGATACATGTATGAATGGAAAATGTAAGAAAACAACTTTAGCCATACAATTTTCCAAAACTTTCTTTTTCTCCTGCAATACTATTTCGAACAGTAAGTAATAAAATCTCCTGTAAAGAACTGCTTACATATGTATACCTTTTAATAAATTTGGTAGATAATTCACATTTATTGTAGTATTTAAATGATATTTTCAAAGTTATAATTTAACTGCTTGCTAGAAGGAGCTGCTAATCGTGATGATGACGCTCGATCTGGAAAGTTTATAAATATAGCCCATAAAGTTCAGAATGATGTAACAATCGAAAAAATCCATCTAATATCTACACAAGAGTACATTAGATAAAAATACGAGTAGGCAGTTAGTGAATGAAAGTGCACGGAATTTAGTGAGTGATTCAGGTCAGTGGGACTAAGAATACGTGAAGCTTTCCACATCAGAGAACATGAGAAGTAGTCACCTTTGATAGCAAATTCTCACATCTTACCTCCCCTCAGGAATATCGAGGTACCTTCTCCAGTGGACCTCACAACTTAGGCCAAAAAATAAAATAACTCAAAAGATTGATAGTGAAGATGCAGCCTAAATAAATTAGTTAGCCAGACGACTTTTACTTGCAAAACAGGCTGAGGCTTTCAAAGAGCTATCAGCCACGAGTGAACAAGTAGTGATAAAATTGAGTACTAGTCCTTGGGCATCACTGATTGTACTTGTGAAAAAGGATGGATCCACAAGGTTCTGCATGGATTATCAAAAGATGAAAGAAGTCACAAAAAAGATATCCAACCACTGCAAAGGACTTCAACATTCGATTTTACGAGTGGACACTGACAAGTGCAAGTTGCTGAAGCAAGTGGAGAGAAGACAAACTTTACTTCGAGATATGGATATGGTAATTTTTCAATTACCATTTGGATTATGTAACACATCTGTCACATTTCAATGACTAATTGAGTGTACTTTCTATGAATTACTTTGCAATATCATGCTCTTCTATCTACTTACATGGCATAATCATGCACGTGAAGACTTTTGATAATGCTGATGATAGAGCTAAGGAAAGTCCTGAAGTAGGGGAAGAGAACCTTAAGATGAATTCCAAAAAGTGTGGATTTCTCTAGCTGTAGATGAGTTTCCTGGGACATACAGACAGCAGGTAGGGAGTATTTACTGTCTCAATATAAAGTTGAATACGTTCAGAATTGGTCAATACCAAGGAATTTACTTGAGGTAAGAGAATGTCTTGAATTTCCCTCTTACCATAGCTGTATTGTAAGATTTGATATAGCTCATCCTATAGACAAGTTACATGAAAAACCTTAAAAGTTTCGTTGGACTAATGATTATGAACAAGCATTTGACAAACTAAAGAAAGAAAGAATTAAACACTACTCTTGTATTAACATATCTAACTCTTAAAGATCCTCTAATTTTAGAAATGTATATAAAATTATTTCATTATTATTTTCAAGATGCAGTGTTTATACTTATATGTAAGCCTTTTTTCTCTTAACAATGCTAATAAACATGCATATGCCTCATATTTCATCATACATTCCATTATAGTGTTACTGTTTAAATCTATTCTTTCTAAACTTCCAACTGAATACAAAAACTACTCATTCAGTAGCCAATGTTGTTTTTTGTATTTAAAATATATATACTAATGATTTTTCAGTGTTATCACAAGTAAACAATGTAAAGAGCATGCAACTGCCTACTATAACAAGGCAATGAATACCATGAAAAGGAGGTATGGTACAAGTCAGAAAGAGTTACTAAGTGTTGCTTGACCCCTAAATTATTTCTATCATTACATATATGAACAAAAGTTTACACTTTGAATAGGTCAGGCAGTATTGAAGTAGCTGGTGAATTTTTCCAATCCAAAAGGCCAAATAGCAAGATGGCTTGTAAAACTCCATGAGTACAACTTTAACATCATACATCATCCTGGATGGAACCATTGAAATATTGATGCATTCTCCCGAAGACTCTGTTTTAATGAAGAATATGATCACTGTGAAAAGAGGGAAGCAGAAAATGGTAAAGATGACAAACCTAAAGAGTGTAGTTAATTCAAAATGTGACACCCATAAGTGATGAACTAATATGATCCAACACTCAACAGAAATATATTCAAGCAAAAGCTACCAGTTTGAAACCACATATTCAGTGGATAAAGGATAGTACAAAAAACACCTCATAGCAAATGGTTGCTCCATGCAGCCCAAAGACAAAGATGTACATGAGTACAGTGGAATTCATTATGCTTAAAAAAGGGGATTGTTAAGTCAAAATAGGAATAAAGCAGTGGAGAGAAACAATGACTAAAGTTGGTACTTCCATGGTTTCTACATTCTGAAGACCCACATCATCTCCATAACCTTCCGATGGCTTTACACTTAGATGTTAAGAAGACACTAGAGTTAGTATAAGAACACTTCTATTGGGTTGGGTGCCAAGAATTTGTAGAGAAATGGTGTAAAACATGTAAACTATGCTGTGAGCTAAAAGGTCAATGAAAGAGATAGCATGGGCAACTACAACACTTGAGAGAGTTGCCGTTGATGTGCCTAATCCTCTGCCACATAGTAGCAGTAGGAAATTTACATTTTAATATACTGAAAATGTAGTTCTGTTAATACTTACCTCATCTCACACTTCAGCTTTATCGTGGCAAAAGGTTATCTTCTTTATCTGACTAAGCATTGGTATGAATTTTACCTTCCTTGCTACAGTTTTAAACCCCATTATATTGCCCCTAGTGATTTTAATCGTGTGACTCTCTCCACCTATGTTAATGTGTCCTCTATACCCGGTCCATTTATAAGCTCCCCATTATTTTTTCTTATTCACATTTTGAGACTAGCAAGATTATCAGACCCAAACACTGGCTATCGAGGGGAGAAAAGGCAGGCTGTGTGAAAGGAGGCAAGTATTATCAGAAATACATTTTCAGTATAGGAAAATGTAAGCTTCCAAAACACACCTCTTCTCCCCTTTTAGCTAGAATCCCATATTGACAAGATCCACACAGAAAGCATGTGCGTAGAAAAACAGGTGTGCAAAATTGCGATATAATAAAGCACACTACTAGGGGTCCGCACTTCTGGAACTTGTATGCTCTTAACCTAGATAAAGTGAAATCTAAGTGTGGTTGGTAAAAGCCAACCAGCTAAAGATCTGTTCAGGCCCCAACACACAGACGAGGTTCAATGTATTGTTATTGGAACTATAGGGCTGTGGGCCCAAGGTAAAATACAACGTGTATAGCTATGGCATGGGAGCTGCAATATGATATAACTGTATGATAGGAATATGATATGAAGGAAACCTAACCTCAAAAGTTATAGGATGTTGCATGTTAAGCCACTGGAATTACAAAAAGAAGGCAAGCAACACCTAAGTGGACAAACCATCACTCCAACCTGAAGAAGCACAAAATGCAACAAACCAAACTCAGAAGTACAGGCCCAGGCACCCAACCTAAAAGTTACAGAATGTCACATGTGAGTCCACTGGAATTATGAAGGGAAGGGAAGCAACACCCAACTGGACAAGTCTTTCCCCCAACCTGAAGAAGCATGGAATGCAACAAGCCACACTCAAAAATGCAGAGCCAATTCTTGCCTCCAGCATTGCAAGGAGAATG